TACAGTATGTATGTTTGCAGTCCAGTTGTGTGTGTGTGTGCGCAGTCATCACCCTGTGTGACTCAGTGAAAGGCAAGAACCACTCAACCTTTGGAGAGCAGAGAGGTGTAGCACATGGTCTGGCCAGTGTTTTCCCAATCAACTGGGGTAGTGTGGGTGTGTGTAATCACTATGATCTCATATAGACTCCAGCAGCTACTAGACTTGACTAAACAGAGGCAGTGAAATTGCACTTGGCCTTGCTCTCTTGTTTACTAGCTTCCAACAACAAGCCAAATAGCTGGTTTCTCCCTGGAACCACAATGTCTCTCTGTGTTTTCGTCGACTCATTTTCCTGTTTTTACAAGTATCACCAGCTATTGTTTTCCCTTCACAAGGATGTTTAGATACCTAAACCCCGGTCGGCACCTGTGTGTCTGTTTGTGTGTGTGGTTCTCTGTTGGGGTCTCCAAAGTGAGAGGTGGGGGACAGAGAGGGATGTATATGTTTGAGTGAGGGAAAGGCAGAAGAAATGCTCCAGTCACACACACAAGAAATGTGGCAGCCAGACTACTACCAGCACAAAGGAAGTCTCCCCCACATGAAAAGTATTGTCAGATGCCAGCCTACAAACGCAGACCAATTTAGGAGGGAGGAAGGAGAAAGGAGGGTTGAGGACAGGGAGATAAATGAGCAATGGCCCATCAGATCCTCTCTGATCTGTCGTCTCTATTGCATGCTCTGCTTGTCTGCTATGTGAAACAAGAGAGCGCAACAAAAGCCAGAGCCAAATGTAACCATCTCCCTATGGCCTTACTATGTTACACTCCCTGAGGCTGTCTGTGTTTTTGTCTGTAAATGTTTTCTTCCTTTTCCTTAGCTCCTATGTATTTGTATGTAGTAACTATAGCGCAGGAGTCTCCAACCTTTTCTAGCATGAGAGCTACTTTTATATTATGAAACATGTCACGAGCTGCTCATTAATTTGTTCCTAGCTTTCAAATAGGCACTCTCTTGGTATTTTCTTGAATCCCATTTCCTTGGTTTTATTTTTGCCTGGTCTTTTATTTTTCCAGTTTTTCACTCTCAAAATTACAAGTATTCATACACAAACAATGAAATTGGATGTTCCGAGTCCATGTCAATGCTTAAAGTAACTGCCCAGTGCTTCCAGATTTCTATGAAATTTGACCTATAATTACTTACAATATGAGTGAAATCGTTTTTCTTCCCAAAATTTGTAATTAAGTATGTTAAAAAGCAGCGTATCTGTGTTGGAATGGTGTGGGCGTACTCCAACAACAGAATGATGTGGCCGTATACCGGTCATAAAAAATATTCATGGCAGTAGGCTGCTGATTGTACAGCTAATCCTCCTCAGGGAGATGACATTATGTTCTATGAGGAAATAGCAAGCATTTAGAGTTTTTTTTTTCTCCAATTCATGCTTTGGCCACATACGAGTATAGGACAAGTCAACAACATTATTTGGGTGTGAGTCAACAGAATATGATTTTTTTTTCAAGTGAGATTTTCAGTGGGCAGTTACTTTAAATCACATCAGATTTTGAGGGCATAATTGTTTTTGTGTGTTTAATTTTACCCCCTTTTCCTCCTCAATTTCGTGATATCCAATTGCGATCAAATTCCGATCTTGTCTCATCGCTGCAACTACCCAAAGGGCTCGGGAGAGGCGAAGATCGAGTCATGCGTCCTCCGAAACATGACTCACTTCTTAACACCTGCTCGCTTAACCCGGAAGCCAGCTGCACCAATGTGTCGGAGGAAACACTGTTCAACTGACGACTGAAGTCAGCTTGCAGGCGCCCGGCCCGCCACAAGGAGTCGCTAGAGCGCGTTGAGCCAAGTAAAGCCCCCCCGGCCAAACCCTCCCCTAACCCAGACGATGCTGCACCAATTGTGCACTGCCCTATGAGACTCCCGGTTAACCCCAGGCTGTAGTGACGCCATGACCGCTGCGCCACTCGGGAAGCCGGGCTAAATTTTTCGAAAAACAAATTTAGATTTTTGAAAGAGAGGAATGTGCTGGTCTACAAAGTTTTTGCTGCAGTATATGTTATCACAGAGTTTGAAGACAGTTATCTTTAACACTAACTGGCAACACAAAGTGAATGATAGACAAACGTGCGCACCACACAGACATACTGTACAGGGGCAATATTGCTGGAAATTAATTAGCAGTTATTGTGTTATGTTTGGCTTTTTAAGCCAATTGTGGCTAACCAGGGGTGAGATATTGTCAGTGTGGATGTGATTGGATAGTAGCCGGAAGCTTGAGGTATCTGATACTTGTGAGATTTGTTTGAGGTGGAACGCGTGAAAAATACATGCACTTTCAGAATTGTTTGGCGAGCTACGCAGAGGTGCGCTGCGAGCTTCTGGTAGCTCGCGATCGACCTGTTGGAGACCCCTGGACTAGTGACAGATGAATTATCTGAGTGCCAAAAAGGCGATTTAGCATTATTCTAAAGAAATGTAGCAGTAGCTGCTCTGGAATGTGTGTGTTTGTAATGCATAGTAAAGCTTAGGATCAGACTACATAACCTAAGGGCAGTGTTTCCCAAATGGTCACCGGTGGTCACTCCTCGGCTGTGTGTGTTTGTGTAAGACGCTTTCCTTTGCTTCTCCTGTTCCACTCCAGTGGTGAGGATGACAAGTGGAATGCACACAAACACTAAACAGGTAAGGTAGACCACTACCGTGCTACTTTTCTCTCCTTGATGTTCTCCACTCTTTGAATTCTCAATTGCTCCTAAGAGTCCAGCTTGAAGTTCACTTCTAGGTTCTCTTGACTGCTTGACTTACTTCAAATGAAGCCTGTAAAACTTCTAAAGTCGTAGGTCTTGACCGATTCTTACTGTTTGCTTTGTAGAAGAAAAAAAAAATAGCACTGAAGATTTGTGCTAATCATTACCACACGCCCTCCCACAGATGTGAAGGTTGAGACTGTTGGGAGTTAACACCCACCTTCACAGATGTTATGTTAATTAGGACAGGGAGTAGTGGTGTGTTTGGTTGCGTGTGTGTATACTATAATAGAGAGAGAACTGTTAAGGACTCCCCCCAGCTCTCCAAATGGGGATAATTGGTTGTAGGAGAGCTGCTTTAAGTGTGAAATGGATCCCCTGTTTGTTTAGGAGATAGAGCCTAGTCGTATTGGCCGACCTTTGCTCTCTCTGGCCACACAGAGACGGTCACTCTGAGGGGAGTCAGCCGCCCCTTTTGGCTTTTTAAGAGGTATGGTGACCGAAGCCCTTAACTGTGTCTCTGAAAACATACAGTGGAGTAAGGGGACTGATATCTTTAGCATCATCTTTCATAGAGTTATCACCCTGTCCGGTGTTAGCACTCTGTGAAAAGCTTTTATTGGCCCGTGCAGTAATGGGTTTGTTGATGTCCGAGCTGAAGGGGAAGTGATATGCTTGAAACTTCTCATGCTATTCTTTCTGGTGTAACTTATAGGCCTACTGTTCCTTCATTTTAGGTCCTCAAATAGTAGATGAAAAATAAGTATTATATTAATGCAAACAGGAGAATAATGTAAATGTAAACATTGATTGATCAGGTTGATTGGTCAGGTTGTGTATGTTGTGTTAACTGTACAGAGTATAACAAACTTTGTCTTTCTAGGCTCAGGCTATTGGATAATTTCCCATCACACATTCAACTTTTATATTTATACATGCAGAGCTAAGATTATGCCATTTCATACTCTTTTTTAATTTTCCTATCATGGAGATCCTGTACATATAATTGGCAAGATGTATAATGGTCTGATGTTGATTATCAGGATTGTTTGCAGTTTTGTGTAATTGTTGCGAGCCCTTCGGTATGGATAGATGCTACTTTTTACAGCAGCACAAATTGTATGTTCTTGACTGTGCTATGTGTAAAAAAAAAAAAATAACAACAATTTGCAGCTTACTGCTGAGAAACCCAACTAAAACCATATCATATTACAACAACAAATGAAAATAGACAAAGTAGTCCAGAAAGGGGCATTTTACCAGCTAAAAGACGTTTGCGGCTGAGAAGTTTGAAGTTCCCAAAACATTTATCAGCAAGAGCTATCTAGTGTTTAGGATTTCTGTCGCGAGCCCAGACCATACGTCATGGAGCTCTGAGTTCAGAGCAGGCCTGGTTACAGCTCAAAGTCCCATAGGGGCAACGCTTCAAGCCCACTCTGATTTCTACAGAGTTAAAGATCCACAATGCAAGGTTCTGATGGTTTTTTGAAGATTGCAGGAAGCAACAAGGCAAAAGGAGTGAAGGACTGGGGGCAGAGGCAGAGGGAGGATCACATTTCTTTAAAAGCACTCCAATGTTGTTTCAACTCCTGCTTGATTTCCTGATGGCCCACTCTTTTGTTTTGGGGTGTGGAGTCCAGATTTGCATATGCTCCACCCCCATGTTCTGATTGGCTGGGTCCTACCCTGCATGTGTCATCACAGATCCAAACTTCTTCAGTGCTCTCCTTACTTTACTTTGTAGCTACAGGCCGATGAACCGGGAGGCTGGGAGCCAGCAAGCTGTGTGAGTGATTAATGCAGTAAGCTGTGAGAGTGTGTGTGTGTAAGAGAGGGAGGCAAACGTTCTAGTTATATGGTTCTGTAATTTAGTTATCCAAACTAAACGTAAGGGTTGTGAGGTTATTGGTATAAAAAGGATGTAGGGTTGTCTTTCATTCATTTGGTCTTTAATTCAAATCTGTTTTGTTAGGAAAAATATTATATTTTTTTATTGATAGATTGAGCTGTAATTGTTGGTATATTTTGTGCTGATACTCAGAGCTTGGTAAAAGTGTAAGAATATGGGTGGATTAGCTGTTTGATTCAGGGCTTATATTGATAAAAAATGTATTCTATGTTTTGTTGATTTATAACTAAGATATTTGACTTTTTTACTGAATCTGGCTATTTTAAAAGGATATATTTTCTATCAATAGTTTACTTTTTTCATCAGTCATCATCAGTATTTAAATTGAAGAAGTAAGGGGAAAAAATTACACTACCTTATCTTAGTAGTTTATTGTGGGTGTTAGACATGCCCTTTTAAATGCTGGACAGGACAGTAATATCTCACACGGTCATGCTGCTGGCTCTACTGCTGGTTCTGTGCCTTAGTTCTGGGGCCCAGTCTTCAGACCCGGCCCCATTAACTGTCATGTACCGAGTCTGGGAGGAGCAGCCTGTGGGCACCAGGGTCGGCCGTCTGGTCGATGACCTGCGTCAGAGAGGCGAGGCAGGGGTACTGGAGGATTTCCAGGTCGTGGAGCATGGTCAAGCCCTGCCTTTCTCCATCGGAGCAAGAGACGGAACTGTCTCCACCCTCGGCCAGCTGGACCGGGAAGAGCTGTGTCGAGGCTCGGACCTGTGTGAGCTGGCCTTCAGCGTCCTTTACAGGAAAGGTGGTGCTATCCACTTCCTGAGGGTGCGGGTGGAGGTGATGGACCTGAATGACCACAGCCCCACCTTCCCCAGCAGCCAGCAGGAGGTGGAAATCTCTGAGACGGCCACGTTGAGGATGCGGATCCCCCTGGACCGAGCGGTGGACCCGGATGCCGGCCCCAATGGCCTGCAGACCTACTCGCTGTCTGTCAACCAGCACTTTGCCCTGGATGTAAGAAGCGCTGCAGATGGGCCAAAGCAGGCAGAGCTGGTGGTGATCAAGGAGCTGGACAGGGAGGTGCAGTCCTCCTTCGAGCTGACTCTGGTCGCCTGGGACAAGGGGAACCCTCCCAGGTCGGGCAGTGCTCTGGTCTGGGTAAACATATTGGACTCTAATGATAACAGCCCCATGTTTGAGGACAGCACCCCCACCGTGGAACTAACCGAGGATACAGCCCGTGGGACTATCATCATCAACATCAAGGCCACGGACCCTGACCAAGGGGCCAACGGGGAGGTTGAGTACTCTCTAAGCAAGCATGCTCCACCTGAGGTGCAGAAGCTTTTCAGTGTCCACCCCCAGAGTGGGGCAGTGACTTTAAAAGGCCCACTGGACTATGAAGCCAAACACTCTTATGAGGTGGACATCCAGGCTCGCGATCTTGGGCCCAACGCCATCCCCTCTCACTGTAAACTACACGTCAAGCTGAGGGATGTCAATGATAATGCACCAAGGATCCACGTCACTTGGACGCCTCCTGATTCCCTAGTGGCAACTGTTTTAGAGGGTGCACCAGAGGACACGTTCCTTGCACTGGTGATGGTCTCTGATGCAGACTCCGGGGACAACGGGAATGTGCACGCCCACATCCAGCACGGATCAGGCCACTTCCGCGTCAAGAAAATCCATGGCGACAACTACATGATCGTAACCAATGGCACCCTGGATCGGGAAAAGGTCATGGAGTATAATCTCACATTACTTGCCCAGGACTACGGTGACCCTCCATTGTCATGTGTTAGACACCTAGTTGTCCATGTGTTGGATGAGAATGACAATGCCCCTGTGTTCTCCAAGTCCCACTACAGGGCTTCCTTCAAGGAGAACAATACTGTGGGCCTCCAGGTCCTCAAGGTAGAGGCCAATGATGTAGACATTGAGCTCAGCGGCAGGGTGTCCTTCTCCATCCGAGAGTCCAATGAACTGGGAACTCCCACGGCATCTTTCGCCATCCACCCCACCAGTGGCGTAGTCAGCGCCCAGCAGTCATTGGACTACGAGGAGTCGCCCACCTACTCCTTCATCGTGGAGGCCATAGACCATGGGCATCCACCCCTCACCAGCACCGCCACGGTACTCATCGAGATCCAGGATGTCAACGACAACTACCCCGTCATCAAGGAGCCGATGCCAAAGAAAGGCATAGCCTTTTTGAGTGTCCTGGTCAACGAAGAGAAGGGGGAGATAGTGACAGAACTAGGGGATGGTGCTGAAGAAGGCTCCACCTATCCTCAGACTGATCGCTCTGTCCAAAATGGATTTACGGGATTCCTGGCCACTACCATCAAGGCAAATGATCCAGACTCTGGCCTGAATGGAAGACTCAGCTACATGATCACAGATGGAAACCCCACTGGACTATTCAGACTCAACGACACCACCGGACAACTGTATGTTAACACAACCAATGCTACAGAGCTCATTGGGAAAACGTTCAAAGTGGATATCGCTGTATCGGACAAGGGTTCTCCAAGGTTAGTGACAAAGGCCACCTTGGAGGTGGCTTTCATCAACTTGCGGGACCATCTGAAGAACTCTGCCCCTGGTAACCGTGGCCAGCTGAGTTACACCATGATGGTGGCCATCTGCCTTGGGGCCAGCTGCATCCTGCTTCTCCTGGCCGTTGCCCTGGTGACCACCTTCTGTCGCCCCACGAAACGAGACAACCATTCCTACAACTGCAGGACGGCCGAGTCCACCTACACGCGCCACCCTCGCCGCCCGCAGAAGAACATCAGGAAGACCGACATCCAGCTGGTGCCAGTCCTGAGGGGACGAAGGGAGAACCCTCCAGAAGATGAGGATGAAGCCAAGCCCCTCTCCCCTATGCTCCTGGTGGTTGAAGAGCAACACACCGTAAGGCAGTACAGCAACTCCATGAACCCAACAGTCCGCTCCCAGGTCTACCCAGAGGGGGGATCAACGCTACCAGTCACCCATTCCAGAACACTCAGGAAACCCGGGAGCATCGAGCTGGATGGCACTCTTTCTCGGACCCCGGCCACTCCTTACCGAACCCTGCGTAAGGCAAGAAACCCTTCATCGTCCTCTTCACTGTATCAGACCAGTACCCTGAGGCGGCATGGGAATTCTGAGATCCAGGTTAGCCCTGACGTTGAAGAGCCAGAACCATCATCCCCAGTGTCCCTGGTGGCAACACTTAGAAGGCCCAAGAACACAGATACCAGAGGGGGACTTGACGCTGAAGACCACAGATGGATGCTGAGGAACCTGGTCCGTCTCTCCATGGCTGCCTTCGGAGAGAACTCCATTGAGCTGTCCGCTGCCTCTCCCGAAGTGCAGGTAATAAACCTTTTAGTTATAATTACTTCAAACATGAATGCACATTTGGTATATCTTATGCAATGCATTCCATTGGTTTTCATCATTCTCATGTTAGATGATACCCTATATCCATTTAACGAATAACAGACAGGAAACACTTTTTTTCTCAGACTTTTGTATTATAAATAAGCCTTATTTTTTCACATGCTCTCACTTAAATAATTAAGCAATTAAGTGTAACCTACAGGAATTGAGATACATTTAAATTGAAGGTCCTGAGAGCAGATATTTTCCCCCCTCTGGTGTATGGCTTACATAGGAAGCCTGAGGGGACAACTAACAGATGATGCTGGAGCCAAAGCATTGCGCTTATTCAGGTGCTCATGTGTCAGCCACTGTAATCCTGTCTACTCCCATGCCCCCCGAGCAATCGCACCAATCCTTTTACACAATATCGCATAACAGACTCATATAGAGAAGGAAAAATGCCAGGAAGAATCAGTAGACCACTCTTATTCTCTAAGGGGGAAGCCCAGCCAAAGTAAGCTCTGATATGTCTGTAGTGTAAGGTAATACTGCTTTGACATGTAAGGACTGTGAGCCGTCAGTGACAAATGGTCCAAATCGCTATTGTTGAGCTCACTTTAAGCAAAGAAAAACAGCAACTGTAAAGGTCTACTCAAGAAGTGCTGTGCTAGTCAAACGACACATCCTCATTGAGGGGGAGTAGACGCAGACGGCGATGCCAACGCCCAATGGTCTTAGAACAAAGAGTCTGGCAAGGTTTTAAGGCCTCACGTAAATGCCACTATAAGAGCAGAAAGATGCCTGAGTGTTGACCCACCTCTACTTCACCTCCGCCTGCTCGCCCCAGTTGGAGGTTTTCAGACTGTTCCTTCCCCTCCTCCTCCACATGACCATATTTCAGAGGTTCATCCTGGAAGGAAACAGGTCAGAGAATAATAGCCCTTTACGTAGAAGCGCTTTCCTGTCCACCCTCTGCCCTCTGAGTCCAACACACACACACACACACACACACACACACACACATACACACACACACACACACACACACACACACACAAACCTCCCTCTCTACACCTCACAAATACTGTTTCCTCTCTAAATGTGGAGGCCAGAGTTAGCAGCACATCCACTTCCATAAGAAAGATATCAGCACAAACTGCTACAATTGACCTCCTCAATGTTAGGGATTGCCATAGTGAGAGAGACAGGTTGAATAGATTCTCACAGAACAATAATATTGATTCATTTGACGATTGACACCTCCACCCAACACACTCAACAGCCTCAATACACCACACTCTTGAAACCCTAGTTTGTTATTCTGACTTCTGTGTTATAATATCACTGTCTCCTAACCCCTTTCATCATCTCCTGCCTCCTTACAGCAGATTTCCCAGCTCCTCTCCCTGCTCCACCAGGGCCAGCTACAGCCAAGACCAAACTTCCGAGGCAACAAGTACTCCCAGCGCGCTGGCAGGTGAACACATATCCTCTTTCTTCTTTTTTCCCTTTTTCTTTTCATTATCCCTCCTTTGTTTCAGAGCCAGTTGGCTGTTGATCACTACAACCACTACATGCATCATTGGTTTTAGATGTTATTAATGCCTTAGGATCCAATAACAGGCTACATGACAATCTGACTTTCATTTTGTATCTTTTCACTAAATGTAACTTGTCAAAAACATAGATTTACATACATATGCATTTTTTATTTATCCCTTATTTGTATAAGTGATCCCACTGAGATTTTAAAGCAATTTTTCAAAGGAGACCTGCCCGAAGACACACAATGAATACAAGCGCCCTATGAATAATTATTGTTTCAAATCTTCCTACACACTGGGCACAGACATCAGTTCAAAATCTAGTTTTGATTTACATTTGGTTGAGTTGTCAACTAACATAAATTCAAAGTGAAATCGACAACAAAAAAACGTACATTGATGACTTTTACAAAATCCAATCAGCTTTCCACGTTGAGTCAACGTCCTCACATTGAATCTTGTTGTTGAAATGACAAGGAAACAACGATGATTCAACAAGTTTGTGCCCAGTAGGTACTGGGTAGTAATATAGCTAGACAATGGAGCTCAGGTATGTGTCTGCCCTCAGTCTGCCCAGTAACAGGAAGAGTGCTTCATACCATAAGTGCTCTGCCAGTCATCCAGGCAGTCTCTGTGGCAGGGAGCACGTCAGAGCAGGACTCAGTGCCTACCACACTGCCCTGACTCATGCCCTACGGCAGGAACCAGCACATCCACTGACCACAATGTTATCTTCTATACACAGTATGACTTGAGGGGTTTATATCTGGTTCAACCTCTTTGCTTACATGAAGAATGAAGACTCTGTCATTATATTTTCTTTAACGGAGATAATCTTAAAACAAAGATTTGTTTAGAGAACAAAATAATCATGCATTGTTAAAGGCACAATGCAAAGACTATTTTCCCCCCTCTACGTGGGGTGTCTGTTTTGTGTCATGGCCGACTATCTGGGAGGTTGACGGCCCCCCTGGTCTATCTCACAATTATACAACGGGTGGGTCTAATCCAGGATGCTGATTGGTCAAAACCGCATTCCAGCTGGTGTCTATTCTACAAGTTACCACCGGCCAAAGCTATGACGTTGAAATGCCTATTTACTCTGTTCCATCTCACTGTGCAATCCACTGTCTCATCAGCCCAGCCAGGCAATTTAAAACTTGTTCTCCACCATAAAAAGCATCTAGACGTTATTTCCCATTTATTTTAGATTAGCATTTGGTTTTCAACAGCGGAGATTTGTATAAGCCTTGCTGTCTCTGTCTCCGACATTTGCAACATTGTTTCAATATTGAAATTCGATCTCCAGCTGTCCCATAGTAAGGAACGTCTTGGGACAAGACAGACAGGCAGACAGCTTTTCTCAGACAGTCGAAATCATTAATCAGCTGGCATCATTTTTATGAATATATACAAAGAAATGTCAATAGAAAACAGGTAAAACTAAATTAAATGCAGCTAGTTTGCCGGTCTTTCCAAATTCAGTTTGAAGTGGTTGTATTATTATTAAGCTGGCCTTGCTGCTATTCCAGTTTCAACTGTTCTGCCTGCGGTTATGGAACCCCTACCTGTCCCAGACCTGCTGTTTTCAACTCTTAATGATCGGCTATGAAAAGCCAACTGAGATTTATTCCTGATTATTATTTGACCATGCTTGTCACTTATGAACATTTTTGAACATCTTGGCATGGTTCTGTTATAATCTCCACCCGGCACAGCCAGAAGAGGACTGGCCACCCCTCATAGCCTGGTTCCTCTCTAGGTTTCTTCCTAGGTTTTCGCCTTTCTAGGGAGTTTTTCCTAGCCACCGGGCTTCTACACCTGCATTACTAGCTGTTTGGGGTTTTAGGCTGGGTTTCTGTACAGCACTTCGAGATATTAGCTGATGTAAGAAGGGCTATATAAAATAAAATTGATTGAAATTGATATTAGCTGTGTTGTTGGCTAGCTCCTCTGAACAACAGTGTCCTTACGGGAGAGCACATTTTCGATGCCAGGCGAAATCGCGCATCATTAGCTCATTGTTATGGATGTATCCAAATAAATGTCACTAGAAAACAGCTTAAACAAATGTAAATGCAGCTACATTGCTGTTATTCTGGCTGCACCGTTTGATGTGACTGTAAGTTAGCCATAGTTGGCTAGCTAGCAAGCAAGGGATAAGAACGTTGCCAGCCAGTATGGCAATGGAACATTTAGAACGAACGACTGGATCACATCCATAGATACAGAACAAAAAGACTGAATGACTGGGTCGTATCTCTGGCAACCGAACCGATAGAACGAATGACCAGCCGGCTTGGGTAGCAACCCTAGATTTGTGTCGGGACTATAGTATGAATAAATTCATAAAAATAAAGTTTTTTATGAAAACATGTCAATCATTATTTGAATATGTTGGTAACCCATTGTATTAAAGTGATAATGCCCTCGAAGCCGGTGTTTGGAGGATAGATTGGCACAGTTTGCCGGCCCTCGACTTCATCTCTTTGATAAATCCCCCTCAAAATAATGTTTTTAAAGTGCCAAACACTGAATGCATTCTGCCAGATGATTGATTGTCTATTCAAACAATTTAAAAGTAAATATTTTGTTTATCGATAGATGACTGTGTTTCTATCTCCTGCCTTGGTATAGTCGCTGAGATTAAATAGGCTATGATGTCATACTCCTATTGCACAGCAATACTGTATATTATCCTACTCTACCCATGGCCTACTGTCAAATATTTTAAATAGGCTACCGGTCTGTTTACTTTTTAGCATTCTTGGCTATTGAATGAGGGATGGATGAATGGTAATATTTGTCGTATAGTAGCGCGAATTAACCGATCATGTCAGAAAAGGAGAGACTTGCTGCAATATGATTATGATTTATAGGCTATAATGAAAGAAACATATTAAGTTATGTGCTGCTATGTGATCTCCTTACCAGTGGTAAATGCATCTGTTTCAGCAACACCTCAATTTCCTCAAAAGAACAATATACACTGCTCAAAAAAATAAAGGGAGCACTTAAACAACACAATGTAACTCCAAGTCAATCACACTGTCCACTTAGGAAGCAACACTGATTGACAATACATTTCACATGCTGTTGTGCAAATGGAATAGACAACAGGTGGAAATTATAGGCAATTAGCAAGACACCCCCAATAAAGGACTGGTTTTGCAGGTGGTGACCACTGACCACTTCTCAGTTCCTATGCTTCCTGGCTGATCTTTTGGTCACTTTTGAATGCTGGCGGTGCTTTCACTCTAGTGGTAGCATGAGACGGAGTCTACAACCCACACACGTGGCTCAGGTAGTGCAGCTCATCCAGGATGACACATCAATGCGAGCTGTGGCAAGAAGGTTTGCTGTGTCTGTCAGCGTAGTGTCCAGAGCATGGAGGCGCTACCAGGAGACAGGCCAGTACATCAGGAGACGTGGAGGAGGCCGTAGGAGGGCAACAACCCAGCAGCAGGACCGCTACCTCCGCCTTTGTGCAAGGAGGAGCAGGAGGAGCACTGCCAGAGCCCTGCCAAATGACCTCCAGCAGGCCACAAATGTGCATGTGTCTGCTCAAACGGTCAGAAACAGACTCCACGAGGGTGGTATGAGGGCCCGACGTCCACAGGTGGGGGTTGTGCTTACAGCCCAACACCGTGCAGGACGTTTGGCATTTGCCAGAGAACACCAAGATTGGCAAATTCGCCACTGGCGCCCTGTGCTCTTCACAGATGAAAGCAGGTTTACACTGAGCACATGTGACAGACTTGACAGAGTCTGGAGACGCCGTGGAGAACGTTCTGCTACCTGCAACATCCTCCAGCATGACCGGTTTGGCGGTGGGTCAGTCATGGTGTGGGGTGGCATTTCTTTGGGGGGCCGCACAGCCCTCCATGTGCTCGCCAGAGGTAGCCTGACTGCCATTAGGTACCGAGATCCTCAGACCCCTTGTGAGACCATATGCTGGTGCGGTTGGCCCTGGGTTCCTCCTAATGCAAGACAATGCTAGACTTCATGTGGCTGGAGTGTGTCAGCAGATCCTGCAAGAGGAAGGCATTGATGCTATGGACTGGCCCGCCCGTTCCCCAGACCTGAATCCAATTGAGCACGTCTGGGACATCATGTCTCGCTCCATCCACCAACGCCACATTGCACCACAGACTGTCCAGGAGTTGACGGATGCTTTAGTCCAGGTCTGGGAGGAGATCCCTCAGGAGACCATCCGCCACCTCATCAGGAGCATGCCCAGGCGTTGTAGGGAGGTCATACAGGCACGTGGAGGCCACACACTCTACTGAGCCTCATTTTGACTTGTTTTAAGGACATTACATCAAAGTTGGATCAGCCTGTAGTGTGGTTTTCCACTTTAATTTTGAGGGTGACTCCAAATCCAGACCTCCATGGGTTGATACATTTGATTTCCATTGATAACTTTTGTGTGATTTTGTTGTCAGCACATTCAACTATGTAAAGAAAAAAGTATTTAATAAGAGTATTTCATTCATTTAGATCAAGGATGTGTTATTTTAGTGTTCCCTTTGTTTTTTTGAGCAGTGTACTTGCAATACAATTCTTTAACCACTAGAAGCTGTGCGTACGCATGGTCTGAGCTGTGTGTAGAGATACACACACTTTCCCGTCAGGTTCAAAATGGATAAATACCAATCTTTGAGGGAAAACTGACGCACGCAATGTTTAGAATTTTTTGTGAGTACGCACCTTTGATAAAGAGGCCCCAGGTCTGTCTGGCCTCTAACTGGATCTGATAAAGTCTCTGACTGGGAGCATGTTCTGTCATCAGTCTATACCTCGAGTCTCTGGTATTTTATCACCAAACTTTAAAACCCCCAGAAGTATATCAAGTAGGAGGCGAAGATTAGCGTTGCACAAGACCTCTTAGCATGGCTTAGAGCATCTCAGCACAGTTAAATACCACTTAGCACACCTTTGTCTGGCTCAATGCACCTCAGCACTTCAGGGTGTAGCCTAGGTACCGGAGTTGGAAGCTATTAAACTGAGCTCAGGTCAGCACATTCCAGAACAGCTTGATTCTTGGGAACAATTGAATATGACAACATGAGTCATAGTGAAGGTTCCACAAGATGGCTGACTATCGACCAATATCACTCCAAAATGTCGGTTCTAAAATGTCCTCCCTCACTGTCCCTGACGCTCCCCTGTCTGTTTCCTCCGCTTCCCTGAAGGTCTTACGCTCAGGACACTGATTGGCAAAGCACCAAGGACAGCGGCCATGGCGAAAGTGAGGCCGGAGACATGGACTGGGACACGGGCCGAGACTCCCCCGTCGACCCGCTGCTGGAGGAGGGGCTTAATAACCTGCTCAACAACCCTGGTAAGAACATTTTTAATATAACGTTTTTTTAACCAGGTTGTCCAATTGACAACAGACTACCCTTTCACCCCTAGATAGAAATTATACTATTTTATAGTCAACAAACAACAATAGATGGGGAAAACATTTTAATGGTCAACAGTAACAAAGAAAACACTTTTATTTGCATTTTTAGCTCTCTGTGGGGCTTCTACCACTTACTTATGTTCTTAAAATTCATAGCAAACTTAAGTGACTAACAATATAAGTTGAGCATGGGTTTTTTCACTCAGCCGTAAAGATACACATTGAGATATATGTGAAATAGTTTGAATTGAAACAATAATGAGTGCAGCGCATAGTATGGTTAACCACACTAATACATATGTTCACATTCTATATATTCCAACCTACACTGAGTGTACGAAACATTAGGAACACCTGCTCTTTCCATGACATAGACTGACCAGGGGAATCCATGTGAAAGCTATGATCCCTTATTGATATAAATCCAATTCAATCAGTGTAGATGACGAGGAGGAGACAGGTTAAAGAAGGATTTTCAAGCCTTGAGACAATTGAGACATGCGTGAATGGGCAAGACAAAATATTGAAGTGAACGGGGTATGTTAGTATGTGCCAAGTTTTTCACGCTCAACAGTTTACCGTGTGTATCAAGAATGGTCCACCACCCAAAGGTCATCAAGCCAACTTGACACAACTGTGGGAAGCACTGGAGTCAACATGGGCCAGCATCCCTGTGGAATGCTTTCGACACCTTGTAGAGTCCCATGCCCCGACAAATTGAGGCTGTTCTGAGGGCAAAAGGGGGTGCAACTAAATATTAGGAAGGGGTTCCTAATGTTTGGTATACTCAGTGTATGTACATAGTAAACATATGTATTGAGTTCCTTCCAATTGTTCAGGTCATCGTCACATCGGCTCTGTCTTTGTTCTTTTCAAGACACGGCACATAGTCTCTCTCTCTTAAGACTTCTGAATACGAGGATTTCTATCTTGAGTGAGAGCCATTTAAAGTCTATGCCGGTACAGTAATCTCCTACAGCGGTGTTACAAAGACCTGCGTGTGTGTTTGTGTGTGTGTCATGCTTGAGTCACCCATGCCCAAAGGGGTCCTCCATTAGCGTTGTAACTCACACTAGATTTGTGAGACACACGAACGGTGAGAAGCTCATGCTCTTTGAGGAATCATGACATTGTTTAAACATTGTTTCTGATTCCCTGGGCAACACATTTCTTTATTTTCACCTGGAGAGCCCCATATTTTAAGCTGTATAGAACAACCCCGACACACACACAGTCACCACCACCCACTCTGCCCTGAGGCAGTGTTTCAGAGAGATCTGAACAGATAGCCTTGAATCTGACCTCTGATATCATGTTCCACATCTGTCTTTCGTCCTGATCGACACAATGCAAAGGTGTGTGTGTGTATGTGTGTGTAGATCAGTGTGTTTTCAGCACCCCTTCTTCAGAATGTGGCTTCACAATCTCTCCTTGAGCTCTGCTATTTTCTTTTGAGTCTGCATTCCTTTGTTTGGTAGCCATATCACCCATTAAAGGGACAATTCACTCGAAAATCAAAGTTTAATCAAAGTCTTAGAGCTGATAGAAGATGAATCACATATCACCAATTGAATTGTCAGTTTTCAGTCAACTGATGATTTATTCAATATTTACCATTATGACTGTTATCAAAGTTGAGCTCTGACTTTAATCAGGTCTGTGGATCTAACGCTTAGCGGTATGCTTTAAACTGCTTCAATATTTGCTGGTGTTTGGTTGTGGTTGTAGTCAATCAACCACAGCAGGGGTGTTCTTCACATCAAACCTGTGTGTGTGGTGTGTCTAAGGGGGTTCTTTTGGTTCCAATAAGAGGGTCATTGTTTTCTGAGGATTTAGGGTTTCCCTGCTGGTGGGTCCAGTCTAATTAAGTTTGCAACGGGGGGGAGCCATGGATCATGAGAGATAAAGAGAAGAAGGCAGTGAGAGAGAGAGATGAGGTGACGAGTGGGGGGTAGAGTGGGGGGTGAAGAGAAAGGGGGATGAGGTGTAGAGTGGGGGGTGAAGAGAAAGGGGGATAAGGTGTAGAGTGGGGGGTGAAGAGAAAGGGGGATGAGGTGTAGAGTGGGGGGTGAAGAGAAAGGGGGATAAGGTGTAGAGTGGGGGGTGAAGAGAAACGGGGATGAGGTGTAGAGTGGGGGGTGAAGAGAAAGCTGGATGACTTTTAGAGTGGGGAGTGTAGAGAAAGGGAGAGGGATATAAGGAGAGGCAGAGGAGTTTGCCACATAAAAACAACAAGGAGTTAAGAGGAAAGGAGAAACACAGAGAGAGAGGGGATGGAGGGAGAGAGAAACGGAGATGGAGAGAGAGAGATTTAAGCAATAAGGCATGAGAACCCGGGGATTATCTTGTGATAACTCCCAACTAAGGGCTGTTTTTAGACCTGAGGCGAAGCCAAGGACCAGGAAACAACCCTTAGGAGGGTTTATCACACGACAATTCCCAGGTTCGAAGGCCTTATTGCTTTTATAAAACAGTTGCTAACATATTTAACAACATGTTTTTTTATTAAAAATGTTATTTTAATTAGTAAATTAGCTTTATTTCATCCATCCACCAGACGATATAGTCTGGACAAAAGCCAGTTCTGATGTTCTGAAGTTGCTAACCAACAGGCTGGACGTTAATTATGTTCTCATGTTTTGACCCAGTCGTTCATTCTATTCATCCCACGTTTCTATGCTAAACAAATCATTGGCATGTAGCTAGCTAGCTAGCTAGGTAGCAGAGGTTCAATGATTACAAGAGCGAGGAGAACTTAAATGTAGTAAATAATTTATAAATAGGCAACAACCAGCTGATGGTCGAGTCAATAAGATAGTTAGGGAGGATAGCTAGGCTAACGTTACTTCTCCTTTGCTAACTAACTAGCCAAATGCAGCTAACACACAATCACATCAAGCAGCTGAAATGACAGCAAAATGTGCATTTTCATTTGTTTGACCTTCGTTTCTATATCCATTATAATGATCCTAATAAATGAATTTGTCTCATCACGTTCATATGGAGATCGCAAAAAAACCTGCAACATGTTGCACAGGTTGGATAGGCACACAGCGAGGCTTATATGAACCCCCTCTGTACCAAACCAAATGCTAGGCTAGTAGCATGGGGAAATATTGTCAAGGAGCTTTTTTCCAGGGGAGATTAAGCTTATAAATTGACTGTCTGGGCTGTGGGACAGTGGATGCACATTGATACATCTAATCGAACAGTTAACAGGCATTACCCGTGGAATGTGGAATTGTGGTGCTATAACTCCCTGCTATCAATCAGCATCCAGGATCCAAACAACAGGATCCATCCCGTTTTATAAAATGAGATGCAGATGGGGGACGGAACGGGGCTGAGGCGTTTGCAGAGAAAGGGGCCAGATAAGGAAGCAGCATTTTTAAAAAACGGATGTGATTGAACCCAGGCAGGTAGCTTGTGAGTTAACCTCTCTCTCTGATGAGGCTTGCTGTGAGTTTGATTGATCACTGCCTCCCCAGCCTCTGTGTCAAAGTCAAGCAGACGTAACAGACCGTTAAAAAAGGGACAGCCTGCCCCCATTAGTTTCTGACAGTGTTTTATATGTACGCTAGCCCTGTTAGCAACGCTCTCTTCTGAGGTCTCCGGGAGACGACAGACATGAAAGATAGCCTTAGAAGTAATGGTGGTCGACTGAGTCAGCGCAACTTCATTAGATGACCTTTGCATGTGGTTCAAACCCCCACATATATGGAGCTCACTCTCTTTCATTCAAAACAAATATCTCACATCAGAGGCTTTGAACATTCCAAACAAATACAGCGGAGGAAAACTATCTTACAGGGATTAGGGGGCGAAACATGATGCGTTTGAACATCATGTGGGATTTGTGTTGGTTACTTTTCACTGATGTGTAGTGTAAAAACAGTGGTATAAGGACTTGTTTTGTTTATGGATTGAGATTTAAGTCGAGGGCTGTCAGTGTCACGCAGTGTGTGTGTGTGGTGGGGGGGGGGTATGAGAGTGTGTGTGTGTGTTTGAAAGAGGGAATGAGAGTGTCTATGTGGTGTGTCAGAGAGGGAATGAGGGTTTGTGTGTGGTGTGTCAGAGAGGGAATGAGGGTGTGTGTGTGTCTGGGGTATGTTCTGGGGTCGTTCAGTGACTGCTCTGTAAGTTTGTGTGTTAGAGCAGTGGTTCCCAACCTTTTTTGGTTACCGTACCACCAACTGAATTTTGCTCTGCCTGGAGTACACCTGAAGTATCCCCTCATGTGCATTTTACCAGTAACCCTATGGACTCATGAGTCTTTTCAACTACCCTCTGTGGATAGGCCAAGTACCCCCAGGGATTCTAGTACCCCTGGTTGGGAACCACTTAGTTAGAGTGTGTGCGTATCCGGGTCTGGTTGTGATTAGCTGTAAAGGACCACAGGGCAAGTGTAACATGCAGGATATGAACCCGGGTCTCCCACGGGAGCAACCAACGTCTTAGACCAAGAGGGAATTTTCTCTTGGTCTGAAGGGCAGACACTGGTTTTTGAAGTTTGCAGGCAGGGCTACATCACGTGACTATGAGCATCCATGCCCGACTCAAGGTCAGCTACATTCACCCCCCTTTGACCTCCTCCCCCAAGAGAGACCGCCCCACGTTGGCCACCAATGTAACACGGGGATATGAATCTGGGTCTCCCACGGGAGCAATCAACGTCTTAGACCAAGAGGAAATTGACACTGGATGCGGTCCAAACACGTTATTTTTACCCCCTCAGCCCTTGCGCTAGCCACTTTCCCTCAGAGGAATCCCCGGCGAAGTGGAGGTCCAATTCACAAACGTTGTCCCCTCGGCCCTCGATTTAGCTTGAGGGAGCGAGTGAAGAACTTTGGTCACTTGCGGGGTTGATGTGACCCACAATTCACTGCAACTGTAGTCAAACTCTGGTGGCCGCGAAGTGTGGAATTTAATCAACAAGGCTGCATTTTCGGTAAGTCCGAAAAAAATCTGAAGCTAGCTTGCTAAAAAATATATATAGACAACATTAATTTTAGCATTGGCAAATTGGCTTAGTCTCGTAGTGAGGAGCCTATAAAACGTAGCTAGATTCATAAGCATATTTTTTGGAATTCTGAATTTTATTGGAATAAATGACCAAACTATAAAACTAGCTAGCCAGCTATGGGTAACTGTAGCTAGCTACCTGACAGGAGTGCTAGCTAGGTTAGTTTACTAGGTACATTAACAGCTTTAGGTTGGTTGTTTTTAAGCTCAACTTCAAGATTTCCACCAAGGATGTTGCCTCACCGATCATCACTCTCCCTCGCTTGGCCAAGGGACATTTAAGGTACACTCGGATGTGACGATGTAAAACGTAATTCAAGGGCTGAGGGTTTAGGGCAGAGGAGCATTTGACACAGTAGAGCATCGGTTCCTCTTCTGCTCCCTTGAGAAATGTGGCTTTGGGTTTTTTTTCTGGAAGGCTCGTAAGACACTACACAAATGGTAACAGCTCTATCAAACTGAAACATGGCACCTCACCTAGATTTGAGTTAAAGAGAGGTATTAGGCAAGGTTGACCAATCTCACCATATCTGTTTTTTTATGAATCACCTTCCTACACATTCTTGAAATAATAGTCCTGTACAAGGTATTTCCATGGCTGGTAAATAAATTATTATAAGCCAGCTGGCTGACGATACTACACTTTTTATGAAAGAGGCTAGTCAGATTCCCATATTGATCAATGTGATAGAATCCTTTTCCAAAGCATCTGATCTATGTCTTAACATTAATAAATGTGAACTCATGGCTGTCAAAGATTGTGTGACACCCTCATATTATGGTATTCCAGTGAAAGAAGAACTTACATATTTAGGCATTACCATTACTAAGGATCAGACGTCTAGAGGCTTACAACATTTTAACCCTCTTATTAAAAAACCGGAGAAGAAGCTAAACCAATGGCTACAGCGGGACTTATCTTTAAAAGGAAGAGGCCTAATAACCAAGGCTGAGGGTATCTCTAGACTAACATATGCTGCTCTATCTTTATATCTTGATGGTAAATAAGCAAAGAGATAGACCAGATGCTTTTCAACTTTCTGTGGAGAAACCGTACCCATTACATTAGGAAAACTGTTGTAATGAACACTTATGAGTATGGTGGGCTGAATTTTCTGGACTTTACTACCTTAAATAATACTTTTAAGATCAATTGGATAAAACAATTCCTAAGAAGACCCACTTCTATGTGGAACTTTATTCCTCATCATGTCTTCTCTACTTTTGGTGGCCTTGACTTCATGTTGGTTTGCAATTATAATATTGAGTTCCAGAGAAACTCTGCTTTTTATCGGCAGGTTTTCTTGTCATGTACCTTAATTTATAAGCATAATTTTTCTCCAGACAGATATTATATATGGAATAATCGGGACATATTGTATAAAAATACTTACAGTGCATACGGAAAGTATTCAGACCCCTTGACTTTTTCCACATTTTGTTACGTTACAGCCTTATTCTAAAATGGATAAAATATTTTTTCCCCCCTCATCAAGCTACACACAATACCCCATAATGACGAAGCAAAACCAGGTTTTTAGAAATGTTTGCAAATTTATAAAATATCACATTTACATAAGTATTCAGACCCTTTACTCAGTATTTTGTTGAAGCACCTTCGGCAGAGATTACAGCCACGAGTCTTCTTGGGTATGATGCTACAAGCTTGGCACACCTGTATTCGAGGAGTTTCTCCCATTCTTCTCTGCAGATCCTCTCAAGCTCTGTCAGGTTGGATGGGGAACGTCGCTGCACAGCTATTTTCTCTCCAGAGATGTTCGATCAGGTTCAAGTCCGGGCTCTGGCTGGGTCACTCAAGGACATTCAGAGACTTGTCTCGAAGCCACTACTGCATTGTATTGGCTGTGTGCTTAAGGTCGTTGTCCTGTTGGAAGGTGAACGTTCGCCCCAGTCTGAGGTCCTGAGCGCTCTGGAGCAGGTTTTCATCAAGGATCTCTCTGTACTTTGCTCCGTTCATCTTTCCCTCGATCCTGACTAGTCTCCCAGTCCCTGCCACTGAAAAACATCCCCAAGCATAATGCTGCCACCATCATCCTTCACCATAGGTATGGTGCCAGGTTTCCTCCAGACGTGGCGCTTGGCATTCAGGCCAAAGAGTTCAATCTTGGTTTCATCAGACCAGAGAATCTTGTTTCTCATGGTCTGAGAATCTTTAGATGACTTTTGGCAAACTCCAAGCGAGCTGTCATGCGCCTTTTACTGAGGAGCGGCTTCCGTTTGGCCACTCTACCATAAAGGCCTGATTGGTGGAGTGCTGCAGAGATGGTTGTCCTTCTGGAAGGTTCTCCCATCTCCACAGAGGAACTCTGGAGCTCCGTCAGTGTGACCATCGGTTCTTAGTCACCTCCCTGACCAAGGCCCTTCTCCTCCGATTGCTCAGTTTGGCCGGGCGGCTAGCTCTAAGAATAGTCTTGGTGGTTCCAAACTTCTTCCGTTTAAGAATGATGGAGGCCACTGTATTATTGGGGACCTTCAATGCTGCAGAAATGTTTTGGTACCCTTCCCCAGATCTGTGCCTCGACACAATCCTGTCTCGGAGCTCTACGGACAATTCGTTCCACCTCATGGCTTGGTTTTTGCTCTGACATGCACTGTCAACTGTGGAAAAAAAAAAAGGGTTTAGGGCCGAAGGCTGTCTACTTTGAGTTTGAAATATAGCCACTAGTTTTGAAGTTCGCAGCTGGGGCTACCTCATCATATGACCATTAGCAACTATGCCCCACTCATGTCCGCCCCACTCATGTCCGCAACACAAGTGATCAGCAGACACTTTTTCTAGGCCACGAGCCCAATTAGATTGAAGCGAGGAGAATCAAGTTAGAGTTGGGGAGGCCAAAACAAGGAAGTCATTCATTATGCACAATTGGCCTGTGTATATCGTGGTTCACTTATTGTATTCAGCAGTGTATTTTCAGTCCACTGGTGTTTTCTTCTTAATTTATTCCTGGTGTCGTCATCTTTTAGCATGTTGCTCGTGCTTTGCCATTAAAAAAATGATCTCGATACTCTACCCATTTTGTTTCTGTCCGGTGAATTGGTTGTACATAGGACCCTTGATTCGATTTTTTTCAATATACTATTTAAATGTAAATGATACATTACATTCTCATCATACCATACAGCAGGAGTCGGCACCAGGCGGCCAAAACCGCCCTTTGGGGATTAAATTTTTTGGTTAAAAAAAGACTAAAATCACCAGGAATTCAGCTAAAAATGTGTTTAATTTAGGAAATCTGTTCCCAAGTATTCCCACGAATACAAAAAGAGATATGTGATCGTGTCTCAATGTAATCAAGGTATGAAGTTATTGTCATTTTCAAATACAATCTCTTTTTGGGCTTAGTTGTGGTCAATTTGCAGTGTACAAATTATTATAATTATGTTCCGGCCCACTGTCCATCTGCTCTGACCCCCAAAAAATCTAGTTGTCTACCCCTGCCATACAGTTATATGATAATCAGGCGTGCACATCCCCATACAAAAAAAGTATTCAAAAATGCCTGGAATTCCTAACTGTAGAGAATGGATTTTTACCTGTTTTGAGTGTGTACGTGCTCATTTTAGCCTTGTTTAAACCTGGTGCTAACATGGGTCCTTTGTCCTGATCTTGTCTACATTCTGATGGTGCCCACATTTCCAGAAATATGTCTACACATGGAATTAAAATGTGTCTGTTATCTGTCCACTATGGCTGCATTGTGACCAGATTTCCTGGCCCCTTCCTTTATGCAAATCTTTCATAGATATTCTTTCAAAAATAATGTTTATTTATTTATTGTAAGACATATATTGATGTAAACAGTCAATGGTGCCACCTGCCAATGATTTTAGAGGGAGGAATAATTATGATTGAAATGGTTTCTCTGTCCATATTTCTACACTTGTAAGATATCAAGACACAATGTGTGTCTGACTACCAGAGGTGGGCAGGATGATCTGATCTCAATCAGATCACAATGTGTCTTTTGATTGTTTACACCTGTCTAAAGATGTGGGCACAATCAGAATGTGGACAAAATCTGGACAAAGGACGCAAGTTAGAAACAGGTATAAACGGGCCTTATGTGTAAAACCCCTTGACCACTTTAATGCCGATTTATGGTCATTCCGGCATCTGCATTGGCCATACAGCATTTACTGCGATGCTCCTCTTCATAAGTAAGGGCATTCATATTTATTGCACTTTTCAAGGAAGTAAATGTGTTTATACATGATGTACCGCCCCCACCTACCGTCATCCAATCATGTCAATGCGGAGCTATACGGAGCCCACTGCATTGTAAAAAAATTGGGGAGGCGCATTACGATGTGGTAAGGAGCTTGATTTGGCCTTTTGCGTCACACCCTCTGTACGGCGCCTCTGGACCGCATAAATCGGCTTTTACTTGAGTATAACTCAGGATACAGCCAGGAGATGACAGGAAATGCCGGTTCACAACAGCCAGATAAATATACCCCTCCTGTGATTTCCTCTATCCTGTTTTCGTCCCACAGAGTGTTTTTCTCAAGGAAATTGTTGTTCAGCAAGATTAGACTTTTACCTCCATAAGCTTATTTTTATTGACTTATTTTTCAAATCATCATCTTCGACATGCCAGATAATCATTCTCCCATCTTCAGATTTCATGTAACGTTGTTTTCTCATGAGGAAATTCATTTTCTTAGGGACAAACAACAATATTGACCAACAACAACAAAGAACACCCACATGTTCCACCTGTGTCACATCCAGCGCTGTATCACTGTAGAGCTGTTGCTTTGTCCTATGTAGTTAAACAACTGTATTGCCAATACTCCATACTTTATTGACATGTTCTCATCTCTCTCCTTGTCTCTTATCAGATGACGTCTTTGCTGACATAGAGGACCCTGCGTGGATGTCCCGCCTCTCCCTCCCCCTCACTGCCGACTACCACGAGAATGTTTTTGTCCCCAATGGGCCACCGTCCCCTGAAACCCATTGCTCCCCAGACACCCTTGACTCTGCCTCCTTCTCCACCTTCGGTAAGACTCCAGAGGATGGCTCACTGGGCGGGGCCTTGCTCTCCGAGGTCAACACCTTGTTTAATATGCTCCTGACCCAGAAGGGCGACTCCAAGCCCCGGCCCTCGCCAGACGTGCTCTACAGACTGTCCGCCGCCTACCGGCGTTCGCTGGGGCTGGAAGGAGATGCCGCCGCAGCAGGGGGCGCCAACATGCCAAGGAACTCTGTGAACCCCGAAAAGAGGTCCCCCCTGGCTCAATGCTCGGTCCAATGCCCTTAGGCATAACCCATGGTATGAGAACAGTTGCCTCAACTTCATTTGATTGGTTCTTGTGTGTTTGGGCGCCTAAGACCTCCACCACTTTTACCTGTTGCTGTGGTTTCAGAAATGACTGAACTGCTCAAGCTTACAAGAGCAACTCCCTTCCTTCTCCTGACATATCCCCATTAGGAGATGTCAAATACACGCCTAAGCCCTCAGACAGCCTTCTTCCCTGTCTGAAAAAGGCAAAGGCCAGAAGAGGGAGAGGAGTTAACCCAAGGCCTTTATTCAGTGCTGGAACAAGCACAATGTACTATACAGTACTCCCTACATATAACAGTGTACATTTACCTTGAGATAAATGTTACACAATGAAACTGTCTTCCTCATGTGGCACATACTCCTCTATCATTCAGATGCAACAAAGATAAACACTTCTAACCAGAGACAGAAAGTTAATCAATGGGAGCAACAACACGTTGTTAGCGTTGTCCATGGTATGAATGGCTGAGTTTAGCAGCCCTTAGCAAAGAGCCCAAGAAGGAAACGGCTCTTGTCTTTCTTAAGACAAAACACTAACAACACTAAGTCCTGTTCCTGAGGAGGAATGTGTGAAAAGTCTGTCAAAATGGACCTAGTCTGCCGACACTTCCTTCACCACCATTCTGAGAAATGTCTCCATTGTTGATTAGTATTTGTATTTACTCAAGTAAATTATTTAGCTACTGAAAAATGTAGTATTTGTAGTATATAAATGTAGTAAGGAAACACTTAAACCTTGTTCACATTGGCAGTTTGAAATTACTCAAATCCAATTTCTTTGCATACCCGAATCGAATCTGTTCTTTTTCCTGCAGTCTGAACAGCTAAAAAGCATATGGAATCTGATATAAGTCGGATACCAATCTTATTCTTGGCCATGCGACTTGTTTCTGAACGGTCAAATCAGATTTATTTGCCGTCAAGTGGTTTGTTTTAAAAATGTTTTAAATGTTTTGTCATTTAGCAGACACTCTTATCCAGAGCGACTTACAGGAGCAATGTCTGAACACACACAAATCCTATTTGGTCACTTATAACTTGCTGTTTGGACAGTCAGTATTCCAAAACGGATTTGAAAAACAAAAGTGATTTGAGCATTATATGCCTGCAGTTTGAACAAGGCATTATACACCCAGGATTTGGCTTCAAATATTTGAATGACTGTAAAAGTGTTATAAATTTTTTAAAAATTAGACAAAAGGTGTCATCTGTAATCTTGCTCAGGAGAACAGGGAGTTGTTTTGTTTCCATAAATCAAACCAGCAGCACTTTGTCATTTCATCACATAGTATTTTCTAAGACATTTTAATACAATAACTTGGAAACAGCATCATGGTCATTTCAGCTTACAAATTACACTATGTTAAGGATTTTGATTTTTGTTTTGAATGTTGCAAAATGAGTGACTACAGCGAAAGAACACCTCTTGGAAAAATGTGAGATAACGCCCTCTGCTGCCATTTCTATGTAAATGTTTTATATTGACGTGATGAGCCAGTAGCTCAGTGGAGTTTTCCTTATTCATTCTTCAGATACCAAGGGCTTGTTGGAATTACTATAAAGTGCATCCTTCCTTCCTCTCTTCCTTGAAGAAATCATGACTAGACATGATTGGACAAGTGCTGCAGTACCAGATGGTTCTTCTTGCTTGTCCAGTCATTAATAATCTGTGATTTCTTCAAGGAGGAAAGGATGCACTTTGAAATAATTCAGTTGAGGCCCAAATAGTGGAGCCCTTGCGTTCAGCTGTCTGATCAGTCAAACAGGACCCATCTGTTTTGAAGGCAGGACAAAATGTGATTGGTTGATTGAAAGCTTAGTGGGCAGAGCATACAGTGACAGGTGGGAGTCAAATAAAACAAATACTATCAGGGTGGTAGGTTGGAGATCGTTAGAAATGTGTTGTGACCCACAACATTCCTGGTTCAAATCCCACCACTTTCTTTTCCAACCTAACTTTCTAACAACACTGAAACAAAATATAAACTCAACATGCAACAATTTCAAAGATTTTACTGAGTTACAGTTCATTTAAGGAATTCAGTCCATTGAAATAAATTCTTTAGGCCCTAATCTGATACCTTAAAAAAAAAAGGTAGGGGCATGGGATCAGAAAACCAGTCAGTATCTGGTGACCACCATTTGCCTCATGCAGCGTGACACATATCCTTCACATAGAGTTGATCAGGCTGTTGATTGTGGCCTGTGGAATGTTGTCCCACTTCTCTTCAATGGCTGTGCGAAGTTGCTGGATATTGACGCTGTCATACACATCGATCCAGAACATCCCAAACATGCTCAATGGGTGACGTGTCTGGTGAGTATGCAGCCATGGAAGAACTGGGACATTTTCAGCGTCCAGGAATTGTGTACAGATCCTTGCGACATGGGGCCATGCATTATGCTGATACATGAGGTGATGGCAGCGGATGAATGGCATGACAATGGGCCTCAGGATATCGTCACGGTATCTCTGTGCATTCAAGTTGCCATCGATAAAATGCAAATCTGTTCGTTATCCGTAGCTTATGCCTGCCCATACCATAACCCCACCGCTTACCCACACAACGCTATACACGTGGTCTGCGGTTGTGAGTCCGATTGGACGTTATGCCAAATTCTCTAAAACAACGGAGGCGGCTTATGGTAGAGAAATGAACATTCAATTCTATGGCAACAGCTCCGGTGGACATTCCTGCAGTCAGCATGCCAATTGCACGCTCCTTCAAAACATCTGTGGCATTGTGTTGTGACAAAACTGCAAATTTTAGTGTCCTTTTATTGTCCCCAGCACAAGGTGCACCTGTGTAATGATCATGCTGTTTAATCAGCTTCTTGATATGCCACACCTGTTAGGTGGATGAATTATCTTGGCAAAGAAGAAATGCTCACTAACGGATGTAAACAAATTTGTGCACAACATTTAAGAGAAATAAGCTTTTTGTGCATATGGAACATTTCTGGGATCTTATTTCAGCTCATAAAACATGGGACCAACACTTTACATGTTGCATTTATATATTTTTTCAGTATAATACTGGTACCTACAAAAGTTACTAATTACAGTGACCAATGAGATTAAACAAAAGTAACACTCATCAATCAGTTCCCCTTGATGGCAGAGGGCTTAACTCTTGGGTTACCATGCACACGATCCCTAGTTCAAATCTTAGTGGTTTGATTTTTTTGACATAACCCTCCCCGCAGAAGATCGAATAAGAAAAACTACTTGCCATGTGTTCAATTTTATGGTCTAAAACATGCAAACGATAAGAGAATGCCCAATGATAAGCAGCATACAGTATACACTCCTCAAACCAAAGCTGCAATCTATGGAGAAGGGGTTGTAAGTGTAACCACCAGTGCCGGGCCCTCCGGTGGAGCAGGACAGTAACTGCACAGAACAGTACACAAAGGGTGAATCTCTGTTGTAATGCCTTGATTCCTCACACCCTCCCTCCTCGTCTCCTTCTCAAAGCACATTGGAGCAGAAGATCTGAGGTTCCTCCCCTTTGGATCTTCTCCATCAATGCGTTTTGAGAAGGAGGCAAGAAGAGAGGACGCAAGGAATGAAGGAAATACAAGTTCAATTAAGATTCAGCCTAATTGTTACAACCCCGACACACTGGATCCATTGGGAGGGAGAGAAACAGAAACAAGACAAATTACATGATAACATTTTATCTTGTTTTATTATTTACATGAGCTCATTGATGTACTGCACCTTGCACTTAAAAAGTCTGTGCATGTTGTCATTTATTTTTCATGGCAATGGGATCTACATTATAATAATACTTTTTTGGGGAAGTAAAAATTCTGTATCTTTATGTATGGGACAATTAAGTTATTTTGTTGTTTTTAAGTCTATTTGTTGAAGAAAAACGAGTTCAATAATTAAGGATACTGATATTCTATTTGTCTTTCCTCTTCAGAACATTGATGAAGACATATTTGGGGACTTTCACGGTGCAAACATATCGCATCTTCTTTTTGCCCTCCTGGTTCTTCAGGAGCATCTTTCTTGTTATATCATCTCTGTGCTAAAAGAGAGTAAGACACAAGGACCAGCTACCACACCCACATTTTAATGAATGAACAAAAGTTTACTTACGCATTTTGCGAGCACATTTTTCCTGTAATCCTGCAAGAGAGAGCGAGGGTGTCATGCAATCTCAAAAGCTACCAACTTGCCAAATGACTTGGTCTAATGCGTCTTATTTCAGGTTTATTATGAAAATGTTCACTTACGTCTCCCTCGCGATCACTTTGCTGCCGATGGCTGTTTGTACTGCAATCTCAAACATCTGTCCGGTTATGGCGTCTTGCAGGCGCTCACACATGGCTTTGCCTGCACTGTACCCCCGATCTCTGTACATAGGAAAACAACAGAAGACACCCAAGGGTCACATCATTACGGTACTCAAATAGATCATACTATTAATGGCCCTTGAAATATTGAGACAATGGACAAAAATATAATTTGAGAATCAGACACTAACTCAAGAGTTGAATCATACCGTAATGTAAATGGGAAATATGCAAAAAAAAGTTTGAGTTAGGATTCAGTCAACAGTTTAGTTATTGTCTGAGCCCAAAGACTAGTTGATACAGGTCTGAGCACTAATTATCGAAGTCTTACTTGTGAACAATAGTGGTGAGTTCCTCCACAGGTTTCCCGTTCAGTAGAATATCCACCTTCATCACATTGGCTGCCTGGTACCCTGCATCCTCATAGTCAAAGCTGTTGAGAAAATGAACAATATACAATGTCTAAATTTTATTCTAATCATTCAGGTTGATAAATCAATCTGAAAAGGTTCCCCATGCAAAATAGAAGAAAATAGAAGTCCATGATCATTTCATTCAGAGGGAAGAGATATTTCATCATCACTCGGTGGTCATCAATTCACACCATGTTCTTCTGGATGGATCAGCAAATATACATGAATGGACCAATTAGGAAATACAAATGTTACATTTTGGTTTTGCAAAGTGACAGTAATCCAAATCCAAATTACACAGTGA